ATTTTTCGGGAATTTCAGGTCAATCAGGAAAAAAATATTTTTCGACCAGTGTAAGCCTACTGCATCGCGTTAACCGCTGATTTTGAAAATCTCGGGGAGATGTTTTTTCTCGAATCCTACATCGAATTAGTTGTTCATGGTTCTGAATTAGTGTCCATGAAATTTTTGGGATTTTTAGGTCGATCAGGAAAAAAATATTTTTCGACCAGTATAAGCCTACTGCATCGCGTTAACCGCTGATTTTGAAAATCTCGGGGAAATGTTTTTTCTCAAATCTGACATCGAATTCGTTCTTTATGGGTCTGAATCAGTGTCTATGAAATTTTTGGGATTTTTAAATCGATTAGGAAAAAATATTTTTCGACCAGTATAAGCCTAGTGCATCGCGTGAACCGCTGATTTTGAAAATCTAGGGGAATGGTTCTTTCTCAAATCTGACATCGAATTCGTTCTTTATGGGTCTGAATTAGTGTCTATGAATTTTTCGGGATTTTCAGGTCAATCAGGAAAAAAATATTTTTCGACCAGTATAAGCCTACTGCATCGCGTGAACCGCTGATTTTGAAAATCTAGGGGAATGGTTCTTTCTCAAATCTGACATCGAATTCGTTCTTTATGGGTCTGAATTAGTGTCTATGAAATTTTTGGGATTTTTAGGTCGATCAGGAAAAAAATTATTTTCGAACAGTATAAGCCTACTGCATCGCGTTAACCGCTGATTTTGAAAATCTCGGGGAATTGTTTTTTCTCAAATCTGACATCGAATTCGTTCTTTATGGGTCTCAATCAGTGTCTATGAGATTTTTGGGATTTTTAAATCGATTAGGAAAAAATTATTTTTCGACCAGTATAAGCCTACTGCATCGCGTGAACCGCTGATTTTGAAAATCTAGGGGAAGGGTTCTTCCTCAAATCTGACATCGAATTCGTTCTTCATGGGTCTGAATTAGTGTCTATGAATTTTTTGGGATCTTCAGGTCAATCAGGAAAAAAATATTTTTCGACCAGCCCCATATCACTATTGACAAAACCACAACGTTTCATTGAAATTGATGAAAATACAACCGAGTAATGAATGAAAACACGATTTTTCATGGAAATATTAATACTTTATTTCCTCAAATATCACAAGGAAACAAAACAAAGCATTTTTTGACCCATGTTCATATGATTTTTTTTTCATATTTTGTTGGGAGGAATCTCCCCTAGGCTCTTGTCACCACAATTCTGAAACACCCTGTATAGGGCTTCCGAAATATATAATAACGCCTATTACATTTATAGCTTGAAATTCGGAAACATAGTGCCCGAAGTTTTCATATTTTTTCTCCTGAGTTTTTCAACCACTTGCTGGTTCTTTCTGCAATTGCCTTGAAGAGATCATTTTCAATGATGAAATCTTGGTTGCATGAAAGTTTCACGTGAAATCCTAAGAACTAAAAGTGGTTTACTGCCGTTAGTAGATTCATATCGAGAGATTATTTTAGTGCTGCCATCTATGTCCAAGAAGCTGAACTTGTCATAGTATCGATTGATACAAATTAGAGACTTTCTGTATTGTAGTTCAGTGCGCTGCAAAAGAGATTATATCAATTGATCATTTCTTACAAGGTGATTCTCTTGAAACGTTCATCATTTCATCAATCATAATAATAATACAACAAAAAAGATTTATACATACCGGGTGGTCCATTCAAGGCACAAGGCTATCGACCCTGGACATATCTCAGAAAAATAATTTCACAGAAAAAAATGACGGAACACGTCAACAGCAACCCTCTCTATAATTTGAATAGGGAATAAGGGTCATATTATTTTATTTCAATTTTATATTTTACAATGAAAGGCAAACTCAACAGGCAAGCAAAGCTGTCCAATAAAAGAGTTAAAAAATTCTGAAATGAAATGATATGATCCATTATGATATAAAAATATAACATAATACATCATATTATTCTATTCTATTTGAGAGATACTGTCATCAATTCTCAATTTCAGAGGATTTCGATTTTTCATGCTCTCTTTTTGGATATTCAACAGATATAATTCAATGTTCGTCGTGTTATATTGCCAGGAAAGTAGTTTTTTTTGTTGAATAAACCGAGGAAGAATTGATATTTTCATCACATGGAGAATGCGAATTCCAAGCAATGTCTAACCACCTGATGCAGAACGGTTGGTTGTATTTTTGTTCTGAGACATGCTGTATATAGTTTCTCAGCCGTTGATTGGTTCTTGGTCCTTCGAGCCGAATCGTGTCGATACCCCTAATTGAATCGCTCTTTTTCCAACGAATTTCTGTATCAGACGACTTGATGAGATTATCTTCGTCAGTCTTTTGTGTCCGTGTCTTCTAATTCACTTATAGATGGCTCGCTTATCGCCAGAACAACGACGGAGCCGTCACAAGAATCCGCTGATATGAATGACATACATATTATACAGGTATGTCAGATCAAGTTTGGAATGACTGAAAAAAAAAGAATAATATAGTTTGAGATATCACTTCAAATTAATTTATGTCTGCCCATCCTACTGCTATATCTAAGCCTGAGTTGGGAAACAAATTGAATACCGGGTGTGACGACGCAATATCGATACTTCTCTCTCTGTCACACACATTGAGCTTATGGAAACTTCGAACGCAAATATCTCCGTAATCGTTTGAAATAACCCTATCAAACCCGGTATCGTTGAATCCGTTATGATAATCCCTAACCGATTATGGAATAAAATACAGGGTGTGTCTTTTCAAAATAAAGAGTGAAGGGTAGCTACCACAAGGCTGTCAAATGTAATCCATTTTTTTATGAGTTATTCGGAAGGTGCTTCGATGCCATTCAAAGCAGTCTTTTCAGTTTCTGATTATCTCTTGTCAAATAGCGAGACATTGCCTGTATACGATAACTTGGGACACCCTGTTTAGGGCTTGATGGTTCAATGTGTGTATAGCTGCTGAAATTACACGCTGGATATCGAAAGAACTATTCATTCTATATAGAAAATAACTAAATTAACAAACGTGTTAGGAACAGTTTTTTCTGACCTTCTTTTCTAATTCTTGTCAAAAACTTCTCCGGGGATAGAGTGATCTGTGTACACCCACACCCTGTATGTAGGTACTATGATGTATACTTCATGACATAGTAGGTCTGCGATTGCCTTTGGCATTTATCAAACTACACATGAGCATATTAGTTATGCGTAAATACAATTCCCAATGTTATTTCCAACTTCATTGCTGGAAACACAATACTGTTTGTTTGTTTGTTTGTTTGTTTGTTTATTTGTTGTGTAAATATCAAGTTGGTGTTTCGGATAAATAAGAAGCTTAGTAAACATCCGTTAGTCCACCCTCTACAACTAAAACCGAAACTATAACATCAAAAAGCTTGAAAAAGCGTGAATGAAACGTGGTAACGGGTTGTGAAAAATTCAAAAAGTTGACAGTCACTGACGTTTTAGTTAAAATTGATTTGATTTCAGTAGATCAGAAGTTAAAATCTATGATGAAAAACCCAGGTTCGTCTTTAAAAAAACAAAGTTGATGATGGCAACTCAAAGACGAAACTTCGGTTTTGTTTCTGACACCATCTTGTAGAACAGAAAAAATAGGAATGAGAATGTGTAATTTGTTTTGATATCTATTCAAATAGAGTAAAAAAATATGAAAATGAAATCGCGAATATTTTTTTTTTCAAAAATTTCAGAAGTATTCGGATTTTTTTTCGCACCCCTTCGTGCTCACTTAGAAGACCTGCAGAACATCTCTTTCCGAAGACTCGTTCATCCAACGAACAGCAAGGCTCTGGAACACATTGCCAAGGGAGGTGTTGCCCGAGACATATAACCTCCAGTGATTCAAAAGGAACACCAATCCCTACCTTATTTCTCTTGGTTCTCACGATGTTCTCTGAACATTACTGGATATCCCTTTTCGAGGAAACCTGAACATAAAAAAACTTATCCGTGCTAATGTGCCACTTATCTGAATTTTATTCCAGTTATCCGTATTCTTTGCCACTTATTCGTGTTCATATATCACTGATATGTGATTATATGTCACTTATCCATGCTAAAGTGTCATTCATCTGTTTTTTTCCCTTATTCGTGTTCTCTGCTTCTAATTGGTGTCAATCTAGCACTAAATATTGTTCGTGTGTCAGTTATCTGAGTTAGTATGTCACTTATTCGTGCTGGTGTGTCACTTATCCGTGATATTTTACATTTATTCGTGTTATCTGCGACTTATTCGTGTTCATCTAGCACTGATATGTGTTCATGTGTCACTTATCCGAGTTAGTATGTCACTTATCGGTGTTAATGTGTCACTTGTTCGTACTGATGTGTCACTTATTCGTGTTCTTCCACATTTATCCGTGTTATCTGCCACTTATTCCTGATCATCTAGCACTGATATGTGTTCATGTGTCACTTTTCCGAGACAGTATGTCACCTATCGGTGATGTGTCACTTATTCGTGCCGATGATCACTTATCCGTCTTCTTTACATTTATCCGTGTTATCTGCCACTTATTCGTGTTCATCTAGCACTGATATGTGTCAATGTATCACTTATCCGAGTTAGTATGTCACTTATCGGTGTTGATGTGTCACCTATTCGTGCTGATATGTCACTTATTCGTGTTATTTTACATTCATCCGTGTTATCTGCCACTTATCCGTGTTCATCTTTCACTGATATTTGGTGATGTGTCACTTATTCGTATGTTTATAATCTTGAATGTAGACGAATTTCGGCGCGAATCAATCGCTTTGTTTCGGTGGTTGAATCGCGCTCACCTCACCTGGCGCGTCGCTACGCTTCACGGGAGAGGGACGCCCGGCGTCGAAATACGCCGCGACGTCGTTAGTGGCGTCTCGCGCTCATCGCCGTCCGTACACCATCCGACGCCCGGCGTCCGAACGGCGTCCAAAGCGTGGCTGAAGCGCGATGTAGTGTGTTGTTTTTTTCGGATTGAGGCGACGTTTCGGACGATATGGGATCCTCAAGTCGCTACTCCTCGTACAATTGTTTGACCAGCTGGGACAGTTACGATAAGATCCCGAGGTACTGTCATTGTTGTTTTTATGGATGCATATTCGAATGAGTGGCATTGAATTTCCGTCGATAGACATTAGAACATCATTGTTCAATAATGTACTATTATCATTATTATTATTATCATTATTATTCAAACAAGTATAGGTTCTATTATATGGAATGGTGATTATTTATATTTTATTCAATCTCAGGTATTATTGGTCTGACAGGATCGTTCATATGGACTGAAATGAAGTAGGTATTTTTTATAGGAATTCAGAATCAAGTACTAGAAGATGCAAAATAATCTTTTGTCAGTTTTTGGAAAATATAGATTTTTTGGTATCTAAGGCAGGTGTTGAATGCTAGAAGACAATGCTGCGATTTCTGAAGTTCCATACAGCTGCCTTAGAATCTATATTCTTCGAAATCTTACACAGATAACCTCAATAAAGTATATATATATAAGAGCTTCACCGTTTAGGAGAAAATAGAGGGTGTTTCATTCGAAAAATACCAGTTTATGTGGAATTTTCAGGTTCACGATGCTTTTTGTTGATATTCATCATGCAGGACGTGTATATAATTCAATGTATTATAATATGAAAATATAACTTACCTATGTGTAATAAATAGTGGGGGTAGGTATACTTGTATAAACTCTGATCTTGATGAGCTTGAAACTTCCAAAATCATTATTCGTATCAGTGCTTTTTCGCATTTTTTAGTACTATATTCTGAATGCCCATACAAAACACTCAATTTCTGCTCGCTTTTCTTACAATAATTCAGAAATTAAAAATGACACAACGGACACCCTGTAGATTCGAATCGACTAAAGTCTTCCAAGAATATTAGTAGAACATCGGTACATACCTATCGTTCAAAAGAAATAGGATCACTCTGATGTCTCCTGTATATAACAATAAAGCCGTCTCTCAATATACCCTTCGCATCCACAGCAAAGCCCTTTCCTCGCATATATCGTAATTCGTATATGTCTTTATGATCCAACCGTAAATCCTGGCATTTTACATCGACACCGAATCATTTATAGGATTACAAGTTTCCTCTTATACGGTGTGGTGTGTATATTCAGGAGAATAACAAATTTAATATGTCACACAAATCTAGATCAGAAAGAATATTGGTTGGAAAATAAGTGAACATAAAAAGTCCACTTAGTAGGAGAACTTCGTATTATACAAGGGGACATTTAGAAGACTTCTCATCCTCAATATCTTTCTCCCAGTTAATAATATGAAGAATCGAAAAGACAGGTCATTTTTATTTTCGAGGGAGACACTTAAAATTAATATTTTCAGGACTCTTAGTTCAACCTCCTAGGAGGAGTAGATGTTACCTTTAGAGAGGAAAGGGGGGGATCAAGATGCATATTATTTTAAAGAGCGTTCATTCTTGCTTTTGGGTGTATGATAAATTGACATTCATCATACAGGGCGTGGAAAGAAATTCTGAATTGAGACTCTATCACGAATCTGTGATTAGAAGTCTATAAAAATCACAAGTTTCCATCGTTCAAGTTTGAACCCCCTGATTGGGTATGAAAATGTTGAAAAGGAATATTCTCAGATAAATTATGAACATACAAAAATGGATATATATTTATATAAAGCAATACATTGAGAATTCGCATTCTCTATGTGATGAGAATATTTACTCTTTCTCAGTTGATTCAATAGAAAACAACTACTTTCCTGGCTATATGCCACGACGAACATAGCCTTACACTGGCCGAGGAAATGGTATGAGCCTATTAATTGTTGATTTCTACCCAATTGAAGGGGCAGAAAACCAATATTCTTAGGACGTCAACATATTATTCTGTCATAAAAACGTCAAAAAGAAATTCCGATTTCATACGATGGTGGGTACCCACGAGAAAAAAATGTCTCTGTAACTCGTCATAGAAACCCAATTCAACTATATAAAAATCACTGGTGTGGAATTTTCATTACAACAATATTAACCTAATAATGAATGATAGGTCGCTGGTTCAAATCCGGCTCGAAGGACCAGAAATGTTTATCTTCTACGAATCAATGGACTGTATTTATTATTTACTATGTTTTGCACTCTGTGAATATGTGAATATCTTATAAACAAAATCTTTAGTACATGAGAAAAACGAGCTGTGATATAACCACTAACTTAAGTGAAGATTGATGTAGATCGAGAGAGTGGTCGATCAAAATATTTCTGAGCGAGATCGAGAATTCTTGAGCCGGTCGAGATTGTGCACAACACCACAGTGGTATACCATTAACGTATATTTTTCGACTGTACTCGCTGTCACCGAATCGTACCATGGGAGGTACGCAGGTACGCACCAAAAACTCGCGTCGTCTCTTCCGTGGTTTGAATCCACGAGATTGTGGAAAATCACAGCAGAATAACGCACCAAAATTGTATAAGTAATAAAAAGAATAGAAGGAGATTTTTTTTAGACTAATATTAAATTATAAGCAAAATATATTGAAAATAAAATTATGAAGTGAGTGGAAACGAAACAAATGAGAACTGGCAAAGACGTAAATTGCTCCCTATTATATACTTAGGGAGAAAAATCAATCCTAAGTGAGTAAACGAAATATTGGATTGGCAACACCATCAATGAGGTGTGTGAAAGATAATAGGAAATTGAACATTACCTACTATTCCCTGGATTCACATGTATTTTAGTACTTGTCTATTTTCACCACGTTCACAGATAATAGCATGTTGCAACGACGCAAAAAGCTGAATACTTTCTGCTTTTCGCGTCATTTCAATTCCTGATTTTGCTCCACCAATCACAATACGAAACATAAAAAGCAAAACGTAAAAAGTTTGGTTATGACTTGTGTGTAAGAATAATATTATCAACGTATATTCCACATTGCCTCTTCCACTATTTCGTTATTGATGAGAATTTCGAAGCGAAATTAAAGGGTCAGATAGTACATGATTAAATCTTCAGAATGGGGTACAACACCCCTCATCCATATTCAAAATTCTGTGGTCGTCCTTCCCCCTGGTAGGGGGGTTGAAGTTACAGGGATGAAGAAAGCAGAGAAATGTTGTTCCCCTCAAATCAAAAATTGATGGTTCGAGCGGTTCCCCGGATTTTCGTTGAACCACCCTGTATGTATTATGTTATTAGCAGGTATAGCAATAAAGTGAATAATATTATTATATGCTATTTTCGTAGCCGTTTCAACTGCGTTTGCGTTTTGGTATATGAATCCCTGGGGAACTTGATTAAAAACGTGCGTCATTCTATTGTTAACCACTCCTTTCCATTAAAAAATTCCATGGCAAACATGGTCGTGAAATGGAACTAAAAATAAAGGGGTATATATATTCCCTACCTGTGTCGATGAGTTTTTTTCCTGGCAAACAAAGCGAATTTTTAATTCTCCAAATGATTCTTCTTCATTTTTGTCAACTGAATTATAACCATGAACATGGAATGTAATATGATCACTGTGAGTGGAGAAGTTGAGGTGAAAATATCGAAAATTTTAAAGAGCACTTTTCGGCAATAAGTGGAAAATTCAATTTCGTCTGATGCGTATCTACATTTAGGTCCTTTGACACCTTGCAAGAAGACATCATATACCCAAATCTTCTGAGAAAGATTATTATTCGTCCACGAATAACTCTGTGTGGAGTACAAAAGGAGTTCTCAGAGTTTCCATAATTATAGTAGGCGGGCATTGTAGGCGTGAGTGACCTGTTCCTAGTATTTGTCTATTGATGAGACATCTGAATTCCCTTTGAACATTCACCTATAGAAACTTATGTCCATTTAGACTATACAGCTTGTCTCATTTCGAACCTCCCCCCATTCATATCCCAGCAATTAGTGCGATCTCTACGAAATTTTGGCCCGGTATATGGACAGTGCCGTGCGTTTTAATCAAATTAAAAAGGGGTCATTTTTTTTGGTCCTGAGCCTTTTTGTGGGATAAGCAAATGTCACCTAAAGGAAGAACTCAGGAAATGGGAAGAAATTGAAAAGTCCTCCTACTGGAGAGCAACTCCAGGTCAACGAAAAGCGAAAAGGTTCATCAACTATTCGCAGAACCGAGCCAAAGATTTACTCAGCCTCAGCAAACCAGAGCTAAAGCTGATCACAGGCTTTCTCACAGGACATGGCCCTCTGAGGTACCACCTCAAAAAGATGGGCCTGGCGGAGACTGACACTTGCCGCTTTTGTAACAATGCGACCGAAACCTCGGAACACATACTTTGCTCATGTGAAGTATTAGTCCGCCCAAGGCTGAACCACCTAGAACAGGTCTATCTCACCCCTGCTGAGGTGGAAAATTCAACCGTCAGGAAAATTGTAAGCTTCATCAGAAGTCTAGGGTTAGAGGACCAAAACTAGATGAGGGTAATCACAATAGATCTTCTAGGTCGCAGTGATTTTTAATTAAATCAGATTAGGATTATTTTACAGGCAAACTGATCTCATATTATTGTTCTTCATGTTTAGTTTAGTTTAGTTTATTTATTGGCAAAGTATTACACTAAAGTGCTTTTACAAGTCAGATATAAGAAAATGAGAGAGAAAAAAAAAAAAAATGTTACAAATAGTACATAAACAGTATAAAACATGTCACTAGTATGATACAGCTAGTCAGATACGAATCTAATAGGTAGCAATACATAGGAAGACAAACATCAAAATATAGTAAGGAATACATTTACATATTAAAGTCACTTTCTAGATACTCTTCGATGGAATAGAAGGCATTTTTCAAGAGATACGTTTTGACTTTGTTTTTAAAATAGTTAAAATTTAGGTTTTTGACCTCTATTGGAAGAGCATTAAAAAATTTTATGCCGTAGTAATCAGCGCCCCTTCTTGTACGTTGCAACCTGTGGTAGCTGAGTACTAAATTGTCTTTATTTCTTGTTGGATATGAGTGAATATCACTATGTGATCTGAAGTTAGCTAGGTTCTGCTTTATGTAGGTTAGGCAGTGAAAAATAAAAGTACATGGAAGTGTAAGGAGTCT